CGAGTTTTTATTCTCGACATTTTTCTTGAAATTCAATGAGCTTATTCCCACATTTTATTTAGACTTATCTCGAAACAGCGACTTTATTCTCGAAATTTAATGAGTTTAATCTCAACATTTTATCTCGACTTTTATCTTGAAATTTAAAGAGATTTTTCTTGAAATTTAACGACTTTAATTTTGAGATGGTTTTATTTTTTTTAATGTTTTTTTATTGCTTGGCCCTAATCCTCTTCCGTACGTTAAAGACAGTCTCCAAAAAAATTGAATAAAAAATTGAAATGACAAATGGAAACAGAATGTGGCACAAACTGGGAATTGGATTTCATAGGGCTGTAATTTACAACTTAATTTACTTTATACTGTTTACAGGTTTACTATTATATTTATATTAGGTTATCATATTTCTTACAGAATTACTTTTTGTTCACTTAAAGTAATGTTACATAAGCAACCTACTGTCTGGGATGGAGCACCAATGCTCTGACAGACTTCTTGTGGTTTGTCAGTGTGGCTCTTGTTTTGCCAGCAACCAGATCCCAGAGTCTTATGGTGGTGTCATGACTTCCTGAAGAAAAAATATAAAGCACACTAAACATAAACATAATAGAACGAACACAACGTATTTCCTTTAGAAATGTATCAGCAGCAGAAATCTGTTTACATGGTTCATACAGAAACTGCAAAATGAAATTCCAGGACTTAAGGACTTCTCAGACATGATTTTTAAAGAAATTTTACCCCAAGGACTAAAATCAGTAGTGCCCTCGACTAAGGATTTTTCTGGTCGACTAGTAGTCATTAATTTTAAGCATTAGTCGACTAATCGCATGTTTTTTTAATAAACCATTTAAATCATGATAAAGAGCCTTTAATTGCCTACAAAGCCTAAGAAGCATTCAAACGCACGCATAAAGCCTGCCACAGCACACCGCAGAAGCTATGATTATGAATGTGTCAGGGAAAAACAGTAAAGAGGCTGTATTAACATTTTTATAATTCACTGATAAACAAGTGCTTTCTTTGTTTCGGTTTAAGAGATGAAGTCGGCGATACTGACTCGTCATCTCCCCAGTAGTGGGATGCACTTGTATGCATGTTTCATACAGATTACATAATCTGAGAATATTTGTTTTCCATTTGAACTGGTTCATTTGAAACTAGACATTTCTCTCTCTATAGATATATTTTTAATATCTGTAAGGCAAAGATATAGGCTACACGGAGTTTCGCACTCAAGTTCACAGACCGAGACGGCAGAAAGCACATCCCGTTTCTTTCATTATTTTACAAAAGCGCGATTTGTTATTGTGAATGCACACAAATAAACGTAGAGTCTTTACAGATTTGAAAGATGTATTACTCTTATCTGTATGAGTATTTATTTACGGAGTATTTTAAGAGCAAGTGAATGCACCGGCGCCTCCGTCTGTCCTGCAGTGATCGCTACTGTTCAGCTTCCGCACAGACACTTGAATAGCGGACATTTCTCTAGGTTAACATTAGATTGAGGGGCCATGTAAAGTTGCAAATACTTACATATTTCAGATGATAAGCCATATTTGTGGTGGATGAATGATAGGTGAGCATTTGGATGTCCTGCTGGATGTACAGTACCATACCATAGACCAGCCATTAACGATCTGCGCGACTTCGCCAATGTGGATTTAATTTTTCTGCGACTAATACAATTTTGGTTGATCAAGCCTCTTCTGGTCGACTATTAGGGGGCAGCCCTAGAAATAAGAGATCTCACTTATTAAGCAATATTGTTATCTTTCAAATTCTAATAAAAAACTAAAAACAAGATGGTACAAATAAAGTGCAGCACAAGCAAAGCATGCAATGACTGTGGCCACTTTAACATTTAAAAGGATACTATGGCAAAGATATCGCTTTCCTTATTCAAACTGATTTTATTTTATGAATACATGATTGACCTGAAGAATGAAAGCTATATCATACACTTGGAATATAAGCTATAGATACTAGGGGTGTGACAAACTTAGCTCATGAGATGAGACAAAATACAGATACTTGTTTCACTAGAACGAGACAATATTTTAATACTACTTTTAAGAAATGTTCAATTACAAAACATTTGTCTTTTTATCACAAAATGCAAAAAAAAAAATTAAAATGAAGTTGTATTTTGAAATGTTTTTAAACTAGGGCCATAACTAACAATTATTTTGGTAATCAATAATCTGATATTTTTTTAGTAATAAAAAAATAGACCGAAGTTAAGGCTACACGATAAATCGCATGCGATATTGATGCGCATCTTATCAGTAAAGCCGGTTCTGTAATCAGCGGTAAATCTCCATCACCTGCGTGCTTTCACATTGAGCAGCATTTACTACACAGAGCCGTTGTTCACTGACGAGCTGCGCCAAACCATGTTCATATATGATCGTGACCATTTACCGCTGATTACAAAACCGGCTTTCTGACAAGATGCGCATTAAATATCGCATGCGATTTATCGTGCAGCCCTAACCGAAGTGAAAAACAGGCTTTAATATGACTATATTTATAAATAAACTAACGATGAGGCAGTCATAATTGGTTCAAATACAGTATCAAAACTAAGTAATTACATGGTTTTATTGAACAACACTTATATAAATGCAACACAAAATATATAATGTAATATGCCTATATTATATAAATGAACAAAACCAACTTAAAGGTTTAGTTCACCCAAAAATGAAAATTCTGTCATTAATTACTCACCCTCATGTCATTTCACACGGATATGCTGTTTTCCTTCAGATCAAAATCACAACAATGTAGGAAACAGATCCGGCGTGACGCAGCTGACCCAGAACAGCATACGCTGTTTGCGTTCAGTGGATACTCTCCAAAATGGCGCTAGGGTGATGCGGAGGAGACGAATTGAATAGAAGTCTTTTTTTTTCTTTTGCACACAAAAAGTATTCTCGAAGCTTCGTATAATTGCGGATGAACCACTGATGTCACATGGTTTATTTTACCGATCTCCTTGCTACCTCTCATTTCAGTTGTATTGCTGTCTATGCAGGGTCAGACAGCTCTCAGATTCCATCAAAAATATCTTAATTTGTGCTCCGAAGATGAACGAAGGTCTTACGACATGAGGGTGAGTAATTAATGACAGAATTTTCATTTTTGGGTGAACGAACCCTTTAAGTATATCATGTATTATAACAAATACCTGCAGAGGGCTCTAACGGCCTGGTGATGTTTTACTTTACAGCGTGATTCAATGACGTTTAAATTCATTTATTATTTGGACAAGCAAACTCAGAGCAACTTTTATTTTGAAATCGAGATGTACAACAAATCACATATCTAGAAATATGTTGATCTAGAAATACTCTCCTGTGTTTGCATAGGTTTAAAAATTATTTACATTACAAATCTAGTGAAATAACGTGCACTGATTTCCCAGATGAATGTTCTGCAACCCAAATTCACAGGGTTTGTAGAGGAAGACTTTGTCAATCATGCTGCTGAGATTGAGACGCGCTCCACGCTTGTAAATGATTACAGTGCACCTGGTGATGTTTTACTTTACAGCGTGATTCAATGACGTTTAAATTCATTTATTATTTGGACAAGCAAACTCAGAGCAACTTTTATTTTGAAATCGAGATGTACAACAAATCATATATCTAGAAATATGTTGATCTAGAAATACTCTCCTGTGTTTGCATAGGTTTAAAAATTATTTACATTGCAAATCTAGTGAAATAACGTGCACTGATTTCCCAGATGAATGTTCTGCAACCCAAATTCACAGGGTTTGTAGAGGAAGACTTTGTCAATCATGCTGCTGAGATTGAGACGCGCTCCACGCTTGTAAATGATTACAGTGCAACACAAAGTGCATCAGACTTTATATGCGTTCCCAAACGAAACCCAAACAAACAGCACATGTAATAAAAGACCGAACAATATAATGCAAGCACCATCAAAGGTCTTACCACAAAATCAACTTTATACTGATATTGCGAGACTGCTTTTCGCCTCAAGGAGTAATATTGCGAGATCTCGTGCGCTCCCAAAAGCCGAGTGAAATGGCTCTGTATTTAACACATGCTGCATTGTTAATTTTGCAATAAATTGTTTTTATCAAAAAAAATGTAACACTAATTTCATATATACTGCCTTTTAAACATTCAAGTACTTTTCAAGTACCTTAACATAAATATGGCTGTTTTTAAGGTTTTCCAGGACTTAAATTTCAAAAGTAAAATTCAAGTACTTCAAGCACTTTAAGCACCTTGTGCGAGCCCTGTGTTTAGAAGGCAGATTCAAAAAAACAAAAAAAACAAAAAGATGGATGCATACCTGTAATCACCTGTGGCTCGGCACTTTGACATTTGACTGTAGCCACTGTGTTGGTGTGTCCAGAAAGGGTGTGGACATTTGCCTTGGTCCTGATGTCCCAAACCTACCACACACAGACAATATACATTAGTACTTTTGTACAGTAGGTTCATGATCAAACAGCTGGAAAAAAAAAGTGTGAGGACTGCAATCTTACTCTCGCTGTGGCATCTCGACTATAGGTCACCAGAACGTCAATGGTAGGATGGAGGTCAAGGTCATACACTGCACTCAGATGACCGTGATAGTGCCTAATAACCTGCGGACAACACAGAAATCTGACAAATGTATCCATGCCTGTATCCTGTAAGTAAAGTTTAGACTGAATGCATGTTGTTTTTGTTTGCATAGTTTCTACCTTGTTGTACTCTAGATCCCAGCATTTAACCTGCTTGTCCTCCCCGCAGGAGAAGAGGTAAGGGCTGCGTGTGCTGACAGCCACCCCTCTCACCGTGCTGATGTGACCTGTCAGAGACAACTTCAGCTTACCGCTGGCAAGATCCCAGATCTAGCGTTACAGAACAAAAGCTTAATTTTAGACTGAATGCATGTTGTTTTTGTTTGCATAGTGTTAATAAAAATAACAATTTGGTCCCTCGATATTCTCTTTGCCACCGTGAAATTTTCTCAGTCTCTCCAAGTGTATAAATACGGCCGGGAAGTAAGAAAACACACAGTCCATGTTAACCTGCTTGTCCTCCCCGCAGGAGAAGAGGTAAGGGCTGCGTGTGCTGACAGCCACCCCTCTCACCGTGCTGATGTGACCTGTCAGAGACAACTTCAGCTTACCGCTGGCAAGATCCCAGATCTAGCGTTACAGAACAAAAGCTTAACACTATTCATGATCCATAACATTCTATACAAGTTAATAATGATCTTAAGTAGGGCTCCATGTTGTGGGGGGAAAAAAATTTAATTGTGATTTTTCTAATTAAAAAAAACTCTAGGTTTTCTGTACTTGTTTGTAGGGCTGAACAATTTGGCACTTCATATATAGTATACACACATATAATAAATAGATCTGTATAGATAATATGCAGACAGACAGACAGATAGATTGTCTTTGCAATATGACAATCACACTAAGCAATATTGTCATTTCAGTTTTCTTTCGACTAATTTGAAGTCAGATAGATCACCTTTATAGTTCTGTCTGCCGATCCAGTCACAAACCACTGGTTTCCAGGCTCCACTGCTATAGATCTGACCCAGCCCAGATGGCCACTAATGACCTGAGAGACAGAACCAGAGAAGAACATCATATCCAATGAAACTCCATCATTGTAAACTGCCCTTTTTTTGTCTATATCATAATGGCCTTTAAAATACTTTCCAAACATACAACAAATTAAACACAATGACAGTTTCTATTCACAAGTACTCAGGAATAAAATAAACATGCTGAATAACTCCTGGAGGAAGACAGAGCACTCACTCTGTACAGTTTCCATGGTGGATGCCACTGAGGTCTGGGCATGGTAGGAGCCTTTCTTGGCACCAGTGTAGAAGTCGTTGTGCCTCCTTCCATGAGAGACTGCAAGGCAAAAAACTAACTGATGCTATGAACATCATCTTTAATAAAATGTGCACCCATCTACACACTGAAATACAAAATCATTAGTTCAGTTTAAGGTAGCCTACTGAAATACGCATGGGATAAGAGCAGTGATATCTCATTCATGAATTGACATTACATTCTAAGAACAAGCAACTAAATCTAAAATGATTAATTTAATCATTGATATAAAAATAAAAGCTGACGCGCACCAGCGCGTGTTGTGGGGGTTGAGATCTCTCTGCACCTCCTGCATGTCTGTGGATATCTGCCTCACTTGCTGCAGTTCGACTGGCTTCCTGCCTACATAGCAAGGAATAAAACATATCAAAAACCTAATTTACATTTAAATTAGTATCAGAATCTAATCACAGGTGAACAACATTACATACAGGATTAGAACATGGTCCAAAATGTTTTGCAATGTTACAGCCATGTGACAACATTAAAATTGCAATGCAAAGACTAAAGCACCCTTTAAGAAATGTTCATGTTGATTCAATAAGATATGTTCATCTTGAATTATACACATACGACAAGTTTGTAAGTTTAAAGCTGTAGACAGGAACTGAAACATCTTGTTTACATTTTTATATTGAAACCCAATCAAGGTTATGGCTTAGTGTGATTTTCAAATTGCAAACACTGTGATTTAATTAAATAAGTAGCTTATATTCACTGGATGTTTTAGGGTGAAGGAGCTGTTCTTTTATATGCGAGCAGCTCATGAGATGGCATTTTCAATGTCTCAAAGTAACTTGGTTCACAGTAAATGCAAACAAGCTCATCTTTGCATTTGAGTCGCTTATACATTTGGGCTAATTTATGCAGCCATACAAACAAGCACTGCAAACCTGAAGCTAGAATTTGCAACTAGAATTTGCCCCCATATTGTGCAGCACTAAATCAGATCTGGGTCCGTATTCACAAAACATTTGATCTTATCACTAAGAGTTCTCCTAAATAGCAGTAAAAGTTTTTAGCTAAGAGTTTTCTCTTAAAACCTATTCACAAAGCTGCTGAGACAAACTTTTACTAAGGAATAGAGAGAAGTCTTAAGCTAAGAGTAAGGGTGGGGTTGACTTCGTTGCTATGGATGATGTCAGCATGCTTACTAACGATGCACACAGTGATTGGCTGATAGTCTCTGTCAAGAGATTTATTCATAGAAATATTGTTGAGCATGATTTTATGTTGCCTTATTCAAATAAAGGTTTTTAAAAAAAATGTTAATTGCCACATTCAAATAAAGATAGCTAGAATTTGCCCCCATATTGTGCAGCACTAAATCAGATCTGGGTCCGTATTCACAAAACATTTGATCTTATCACTAAGAGTTCTCCTAAATAGCAGTAAAAGTTTTTAGCTAAGAGTTTTCTCTTAAAACCTATTCACAAAGCTGCTGAGACAAACTTTTACTAAGGAATAGAGAGAAGTCTTAAGCTAAGAGTAAGGGTGGGGTTGCTATGGATGATGTCAGCATGCTTACTAACGATGCACACAGTGATTGGCTGATAGTCTCTGTCAAGAGATTTATTCATAGAAATATTGTTGAGCATGATTTTATGTTGCCTTATTCAAATAAAGGTTTTTAAAAAAAATGTTAATTGCCACATTCAAATAAAGATTTTAAAAAAGCCTAAGTGTAACTAATTAAAGAAGTATATGTTCAGCTAATTAATTGTCAGCCTCTTACATTGTTGCTTCTGGTAAACAATTTTTAATTAACAGAATAGAATAATCGTGGCTGATAGAAAACCAAACTGCACGCAAGAACAACCGTTACTTCTTCTCCAACTGGTCAATGAAAACAAGGGTATAATCAAAGAAAAATTGTCCCTGACAAATTCTACAATAGTCATAATACCCCCGCGATTAAGGTGATACTTTTATAAAAGCTCATTATCGTCAAACGTTTCTAAAATGCTTACGCTCCGAGGCAGATTGCCAGCAACAATCACTTTAGGATAGTAGTGACTTGGTCTTAGTGATTTAGGAGTCCTCTTCACTTCTCCTCATGTTTCACAGATTTAGGAGCTAGTTTTAGGAAATTTGGCAGTCACTGTGCGTTCGCGAAAGCGAAAATGCAAACGCTAATGCAGGATTTGCAATTGCATTTGGATTATGTCACAATTTATGCGTCCACATATTGAAAACGCAATTGAAAATACAATTTGCTATTCTATTTGAAAATTGTCCGGAATATTGTTCCATAGGATTTGTTGATCTGGGTTTTATTTTAAATCGAGTTGTGTTGCACCACTTAATTTTAAACAAAGGTTAACAACTCAGGGATTAGAATTCTAACCTGCGATTAATCTACCATAAATTTTCTCCGCCATTATGGATTTGCCATTGCAATTAAGCAAGAACAATGTTAATATTCCTTAAATCCTCTGTCTCTGACATAAGTAGCTTCGATAAAGCAAAAAAAAAAAAAAAACCTTGTAAAAGGTACTCTGTCTTTATAAACCTCTACGTAGAGAGACCATTATTCAAACGGCTGATCATCAAGCAAGCAATGAATACATTTAGGCAGTGCATACGGATTTCATAATCTTGGAAATATATTAATAGTATCAATTAATGGAGTAGCCTATAGTTTACGACAAAACAGCCGAGATAAGAGAAAACAACTGGCATGATTCGCGGAGTGACTTTTTCCACTTGTGACAGCGGCGCCCCGTCCGTTTGATCGCCGTACATTCTATTATGACTAGGAATTAGACTTAAAAGAAATAAAAGTACCATTCTGCTGTTGGAGAGTGTTATATAAACTACAGCACTGCTCGTGCATTAAATCATTAACCGGTGCTAAACTGCTCACTGCATCATGTAATTAACAACTTGAACCATCAATGTATGAATCAAACTCACTAGACAGTCAACGTTTTTTTTTGCTACGCATCATTTTTTATATCCATGTATGTGGTTACAGTAAAATCAGTGAAATCGCTCAGGAAATCTGTCCTGTCTTGCCTGCACATTCGCTGCTTATTTGCATAAAGTTAAATAATTCTGAACTTTTGTCGCTTGACACGCTCGCATTCCGTCGCTAACCTCTCTGAGATCTGCAAGTTATGAGCTACTTATAGCCTTAAGATTTTTTAAGAATACGGGCCCTGAATTATTGGTGTTTAGTTTATCACCTTGCTTGAGAGGAAGGAAGGGCCAGAGCCATGGAGTGAACACCTGCTTCACTGGGCATCTTCTGTATCTGTGTATCTGCAGTGAAGGCCACTCCTGCAAACATTAGAAAAAAAAATGATTAGGCCTCTGAAGAAAATACAGTTCTGTGCAATTAATTTAAATGTTCAGCATCTAGGTTTTCAGGCTTAAACAGACTTACCTGGAGATGATGGATATGGATGAGTTCCTGTCACCAAGTAATCTGGACCAGCGTCTGCATAAATTAAGTCCAACAATTACAACAGACTGAAAAGTCAATGTTACGGATTACTCTGACAACGTTTTTTTTTTTTTTAGTTGTTTAGTCCCTAAAAACATGAATATCACAAAACACAAAAGGACCAAGATTTCAGTTTGTGTAAATCAGTTCCAAAAAGAAATGGGTAACGTTATACCAGGCAGTGGGTATCCCGGCTGGCCATATGGGTGAGAGGCGTGGAGTGGCCCTCTGTCTCTGCCCTCTTTCAGCACAGGCATGTGTAACACTACTTTGTATTCTGCTCTCATCATCACGGTCATCTTCGTCTTGTAGCTAAAGACATAAGTAGTAAGATATTAGTAGTATTAACGAGCCATTTAGCTTTATATACAGACTCTCAAACAATAATTACAGGTTCTTCCTAAAGAACAGACTTATGAAATGTTAAAGTGTAAAATGTCAGTCTTTCAGTTATTATCCTGTTGAGTTACAGTAACGTTACATGCACAAAATCAATAACGTTCGTTGGCTACATCGTATCACCAACATGCCAGATTTTCAGTCTTACAAGACTGAGAGCAACAGGGTTGAGTATTTACCTCTGTTCGTCCAGCGCTACTGGTTTTGCATGATCTGATACAAACATTTCATGTGTCCTTTTCAAAGAACGAAACACAAGCGTGTGGACAGAGTGCTTCTGCACTTCCTGTAGGAATAAAAACAACGAAATTCAACATGAGACGACCGGATCAGTCAAGCAAAAATAACAATTTATAAGCTATTAGAAGCCGGAGATACACATATCCAGATGACCACACATGTGTAGATATACAGCACACCGCTTTCATGCACAAACACGGACCTATGTGGCTAGACTATCAATCTGAAACATTCGCAAATGAAACAAAAGACCCAATTTACCTCAGTCATGTTTGCTGTTTTCTTAAAAAACGAACGCGGTCAAACGGTCGGAGTGTGAAGTGATTTCAGTCTAGGTATATATTATGAATTCTATATGCTATTCTTAAGTCCACTATTCCTAATGAATTTTAAAATTGTCTTTATTATTTTACCACATCCTTGTTTTGTGTTTAATATGTTGCAGATTGAAAATCCATTACATCCTAAGTACTGTAATTCTCTTTGTAGTTCATTCCTTTCCTGTTCATACCTCGGACAGAGTAACAACACATGATCAACTGTTTCCTTTACTTGGCATGTTTCACATAATCCAGTACTGTGTTTCCCTATTATATGAAGTGTAGAATTAAGTTTTGTATGACCCATCCTTAGTCTTGTTAAAATGACCTGATCTTCTCTACTTAACTTCAGTATCATTTTGCTTTGATTTACCCTGTTTTGTATATTATAAAAATGTCTTCCTGTTTTACAGTCATTCCAATTCCCTTGCCATTTCCAATTGCAAGCTTCTTTAATTATACTTTTCCCCTCCATCCTGCTTAGTGAAACTGAAATAGTAGGAGTATTCAGATTAAGTGACTCTTTAGCCATTTTACCAGCTTTTTCATTTCCTGGTATATCATATTTGGCATCACTTCTTCTACCCAACTAAGTGCCATTTGAATTGCCACCATTTCAGCTGTGTATACTGATGTCCCATCCGTTAACCTTCCATATTTTCAGATTTTAAATTCTGGAACATAGAATGCAGATCCAGTACGACCTATTTCTGGGTTTCTTGAGCCATCAGTGTATATTGGCAGAAATGCATAATAAACTGTTCTGATATATTCTGTTGAATGGGTTTTGATATCAATGTCAATCTGTCCTTTTTGAATATATTCATGAATTTGAAAATCAACTTTAGGTTGACTGAAAAACCAAGGAGGTATTGGGGAAATTGTAACTGTTGGTGAAAATGTAATATATTTAGTGACATTTTTGCAGCCCAATCCTTTACTTCCCATGCAAACCCTGTTCCTGTTAAGTTCATTGTCTCCCAACTCCCCTCTAATATTGATTTTGTAGGATGATCTGAATTATGCCCTTGTAAATTGATCCAGTAAGCAACAGATAATTGTTTACGTCATATTTCTAATGGGGACTCTCCTGTTTCAACTTGCATTGCTGAGATTGGAGTTGTTTTAATTGCACCTGTAATACATCTCAAAGCTCGTGCTTGAATAAGATCTAACTTTTTAAGCATACTGATTGAGGCAGATCCATATATAATACACCCATAATCTAAAACAGATCGTAGAAGTGCACAGTATAAGGTGATCATTGATTGTTTATTTGCCCCCCATTCTTGGCCTACTATACATCTCATTAGATTTAGTACTTTACTACATTTCTTTTCAATGTAGTCAATATGGATTTTCCACGTTAATTTAGAATCAAACCACAGACCTAAATATTTAAATTTTGTTACCCTTTCTAATGGTTGTTTATATAAATAAAGTTTAATATTTTCTGCGACCCTTTTTTTTTGTAAACAACAACTGACAACACGTTTTGGATATAGAGAATCTGAATCCCCATTCCACTGACCATTTCTCTACGCCCTCTATTGCTTCCTGAATTTTATGTACAATATATTTAACATTTTTCCCTCTCTTCCACATTGCTCCATCATCAGCATATAATGCTGTTGAAATTCCTGGATGAATTCCTTCAAACACATCATTGATCATTATGTTAAATAATATAGGACTTATAGCACTTCCCTGAGGAGTTCCATTTTCTACATTCACCATCTGAGATAATACACTACCCACCTTGACTTGAATCGTTCGACCAAACAAGAAACTTAAAACCCAATTATAAAATCTTCCTACAATTCCAATTCTCTGCAACTTTGATAACAACTGACCATTTCTCTATGCCCTCTATTGCTTCCTGAATTTTATGTACAATATATTTAAAATGTTCCCCTCTCTTCCACATTGCTCTATCATCAGCATATAATGCTGTTGAAATTCCTGGATGAATTCCTTCAAACACATCATTGATCATTATGTTAAATAATATAGGACTTATAGCACTTCCCTGAGGAGTTCCATTTTCTACATTCACCACCTGAGAAGTCTGCTCAACTCTAGTGTTGTTTGAAATATGAAAATGTTATTCTGGGTTATAGACATTTTGAAAGAGAACAATCAGATGTTTTTTATTTACTCAATCTTATTTTGTTTCTCGCCAAATATTTTGTACACAAATGTAAATATTGTAAGTGTAAGCCTTTCTTTAACCTTTTTCTGGAAGAGTTAAAACTGTATATGTATTTGATTTCTGACTCTTCCAATAAGAAAGCTGTAAAAACTGTGAATCTTTTTAAAAGGTACATTATTTTCTTGCTCCCTGGCATGTAGTATATTAATGTCATTCTGTGTTTCATATATTATATATTATAATAATAATAAAAATAAAAAAAAACTAGTGTTGTAAAATAACTTCAATTTGTAATGACTTTAATTTGTATACTCTAATTCAAATATAAATTAATATCTTACCCTCATGTTTTTTTTCCCTTTCTTCCAACTTTTATTTTTTCTTTATCTTTTTTCTTCTTCTTTTTCTTCTTTTGTTCTGTATGTTCAGATGACATTGCACATATCGTTGATAAATGTTGTGTACTCTATACAAAGTTGTATATCTTTAATGTCATCTTTGTGATGTTTGCATTCATAATAAAAATTAAAAATAAACTCTAGTGTTGGAAAAAAAAATGTGTTGTATTATTTGAAAAAAAAAGTAATATTAAATTCTCACATTAAGGGTGGTTTAAACTTTATTGATTTTAACTAATTGAATAATACAATTAAAATAAATTGGCTTAATCGGTTCCTCAAAAATCCCACCTCTCTTTGGAATATTTTCCCTCAACTTGTCTTCTCACAGCTTGGTGGTGTAAAAAAAAATTGTCTTCATGTGTTTTCTCCCCAGCGGTGTTACATATGGAACAATAGGAATATTTTATTTAAGAATAAATTTTTGTTCAATAATCAGTGGTTCAGTAACGGAATATTTCATGTTAGTCCGCTCTTTAACAAGGATGGTCTGCTTTTTAGGTATACAGAATTTCTTTTAGAATATAATATACTATATTATACTATACTGCTATTCCATCTGGCATATGCATGCTTTTTAAAAATTATACTCTATAGGAACAGTTCCCTTTCCTGAACCTATCAACATGCCTATTGGTGGAATATGTTTCACTGGGAAAAAAGGAAGAAATGATAAAATAAGAACTTTATTCCTTGAGAACATTGTCTCTGCCCCTTCTGCAGTCTCATATTGGAACAATCTTTTTGATCATTTAAATTGGAAAAATATATGGTCCATGCAACAAAGACGTTTCCTCACTAACAAAATAAAAGAAATAACTTTTAAACAACTCCATAATATTTACCCTGTCAAACATTTTCTTAAGAAAAAATGTGGATCAGATTTTGACACTAAATGCTCCTTTTGTCAGAATGATACTGAAACACTTCTTCATTTGTTTTGGTCGTGCAACTATACTTTTCAGCTCTGGAAAGATGTTAGTTATTTTATTTCAAGTTCTATCTTACAAGGTTTTTCAATGAATCCTAAATCTGTTATTTTTGGTTTCTTTGAAGCGGATTCAAATGCCTGGTTTATTATAAACCTAATTCTCTTTTTGTAGATTTTATATTCATAAATGTACATTTTCGAACTGTAAACCTATTTTTGTAGCATTCTTACAAGAGATAAAACATTATTTACTTACAATTTAATTCTCACTTAACAAATAAGCTCTCAACAAACTCTTTACTGTATTTAATGTGTAATTTTTATTAATTTGTGTAATGCCCTCTTATTTCCTTTTCTTTTTTCCCCTTTGTCTTTTTTTTTTGTTACGGTCTTTTTCTGCTTTGAACTATGGTACTGATTGTTGGGTTATTTTAATATTTATTCTATTGATGTTATTCTTAATTGTTGTTATGTTTTAATTTTTTGTTCCATAATTTAAAGTAAATGTTCAAATAAAGAAAAAAACAAAACAAAAAAACTCCAGTGTTGCATTGGGCCGCATTAATTAATCATATAGATTGGAGAAGAGCATGGTTGTTGCCTCATAAATATTTTCTTCCAAATAAGACCAAAGAAGTCCACTTATTTTATAGTTTACTATGTATAGTAAACTATAAAATACTGCATAAAATATATCCTGTTAACCTTAATACATTTACTCTTTTCTTGTGAATTTGTCAGAAGTTTTGGCTTGACTTGTATTCCCATTAAACAAACCCCCTATCTTTGCAAATACTAATACTATTTGTTATTACTCTGACTCTGCCAACAAATCTAAAGAATATATTAACAATTCAATGTTTTTATTTTGTTTGGCAAATTTTTCATCCATAAACAAAAATGTATGGGCTCAAGTCCTACTCTTTCACATGTTCTGATTGAGGTTGACTCACTGCTCACATCTTTTTGTTTGACTAGCAATAAAAAATGTGACATGTTTTTGGAACTATATGAAAAATGTATTTCTATTGATAGAAAGTTCCCCTTCAGGAACTCGAGCGTCGAGTCGCTTTGGGAACGCCCTTGCGTGACCGCGTTCTGAAGCACGTGTCAAATCCGTCCAATGGAGCAGCGAGACGTCACGAGCAGGGTGACGTAAGCACCAGAAAGCATAAAAGTGCATCCGGCCGGGCGCAAACCAGCTTCTGCTCTTCAGTAGCGCTCTGTGTATGTGTCTGTCTATTTACTGTTGTCTGTCCGCACAAGCACTCATATATATAAA